TTGTGATGCTGTATTTCTGAGTGTTTTATGTGCTGCAGAACAGGAACCTGCTGTAAAACAGCAATTATGCTGAGTCAGGCTTGATTTTTAATTATCTTTTCCTGTTAAATAAATAAATCAAATCAAAAATTAAACCATACTATACATGTGCAGAAAACACCAAAACAAAGAGGAAACTAAAACACTGGAGGAAATAGAGCTTCAACTGACCACGTTTTCATTGAATGCAAAGATTTGGGCTCATTTTGATTTTTACTGAATGAGTCTGAATTTGACATGAGCTTCACTGTGTGCAAGGTTTGCACAATGATAATAAAGTACTTTGGGAACACGACATATGGGCTCACATGATCAGCATTGAATGAAAAATCGATTTTGAATCAAATCGTGAGATAGTAGAAGATTCCCACCCCTAATAAAAAACGTTTAATCATGTAATAAAACAAAGCACTGTACTTAAAGTTTTAGTTTTCTGGCAGTGAAAATAAAAACGCAACAACTGAAATGTATTTTCCAGCCTCTGAATGAACCTTTCTCCCACACACAGTCCCAGAAACAAAGACCTAACGTCCACTCAGACAGAAAGCATCAGCAGCACTGCAGCTGGACACAAAGACTTGCCTGTCCGTATGCGAACACGGTGGCGTTGTAGCCTTCGAAGCAGCCCTCGATCAGCTTCTCGGTGCAGGTGGTGTAGATGGAGTCCTGCTGGGAGTCCATGTCGAACACATAATCAAAGGTGAAGGCCTTGTCTTTTCCCAGGATCACCTGGGGCTCTCCTGGCATCACGTACGTACAGATATGACATCCCTCTATCTTCTCCCTGGCCAGCTGAGGACGGATCCTACAGAAAGGACAGAAACGTCAATGAGGCTGTCCTTCAGTATGAAGGGCTGCTGAAGACGACTCAGGGGAAAAAATCAACTTAGAGAGAGGAAATGAAAAGGTAATGAACTTATGAGGACATTGCGACTGAATTCAGTTTGTTTTTCACAAAGCCAAGGCAAAAACACAGAAGAAGATAGCGCCATGTGTTTTCAGAATTTTCAGTTCAATACTCCATCAGGAATGTGAAACCATTTCAAAAACACATGGCCAAATCAGGAAATGCTCTATAACTTTCAGAGGATGCAAACTGAACAAAGGTTTCTCTCATAACTAAAGAGTCTGTTGAAACAATTGGAAGAAACAACAACTGAGCTCTAAAGCTCAGACATACTTCAAGTAAAAAAAAAAAAAAGCTCAACTAAGATTATATAAAGCTGAACTCTACATGATGGAACTGGAATTTTAATGTGTTTTTCACACAACCACACTTCAGGTTTTACTCATTTTGGAGATTTCATCACAGCTTTATTCAACTGACAGAGTGATGTCACTAACATTTGTGTGGTCTGAATGCGCCAAACTTTTTGTAAACTCCATTTTCCTCCATCATTACACTTCTTGCACAGTGTATACATGAAAATAAGGCTTTCTGTCCTCTCTCTCACTTGATCTTTCTCTGTTTCAGGACTTTGTCTTCTTGGAAATCCTCTATAAGTGCAGACTGCACACATCCAGACTCCCATTTACTAATGTGTTTAAGTTTAGAGAATTCTCTTTAAAACTTCAATTTAAAGGGTTATTTAAAATCATCAGTTCACATTTTTTCCACTTCAATACAAGCTTATACGTTTTTGCAGGATGTCAAACCACCACCTTCACGCAGATGTTTTTGTGCTTTTTGTTTTAGTTTTAAACATGTGGTGTGTTTTCTTCATTCTGATCTATCTGGCTTTATATGCAGTCCTTTAGGAGTGTTTGTGTGAAGTCAAAGCTGACATGCTGGATGTTTGTAAAGCTGTCTATGCTGGCCAGATGAGATCTGTTGGGATTAACCTTTTCATTTTAATCTGGATTTTAGGCAGCACACATGGACATCCCAATATATGGGTTTATATATTTACGTCTGTTTTTTTAAAGAAATGCGGGTCAACCTGTTGTGTCATACAAATAAGCACAAACTGTCTATATTTTAAAAAGAACAAAAGTATTGCCTTGATAAGAACTAAAACAAGCTGGCAGCTGTGTTCATTTCCTCATCTAACCCACTGATGATGATAATAATCAGAAAAGTTGAGTTTGCATCTTTCATACAACAACACATCACAATTAGACATCACAAAGCATAACTTAACTTGACAAATTCTTAAGCTTTAACCAGCTACAAAAAAACTTCAGCAAAATCAGTTTAAAACAGTAACAGTTTGGTAAAGAAAGAACATAAAGTGAAGCAATGTTAAGACTGATCTTCACAAATACAATTACCAAAATTATTAAACTGAATAATTTGAAACTTTTCTAATACATCAAAAAAGTGTGAAGTTGTATTGATTTGTGCAGGACATAAGACCTGAGGTTTTCTTTTTTGTTTGTTGGCTCAAAAAGATTTAAAAATATCAGAACTTACAAACAGTCAAATGTGTTTTGGTGTTCAGGTGCTAAATTTTCAGAGGTCTGAACACGAATGGAAAGGTGATGCTGAGAATAGTCGGCTTTAAGGCCGTACAATATTAGAAAAACTTGTAATGTAATGTTAAACTTTAATATTGTAATGAATCCACATTTTCCTAACTGTTACTTCTGTCATCAGCACCATCATGTAAACCTGGTGTGGGCTTCAAAGCCAGCAGCAGTTTGTTGGATTGACAAAAGCATGCAGAAATATAATGGTTTATAAATTCACAAAATGGTGATGGGGCTCCATGACAATGGTCTGTGTGATGCCTGTGGCATTGAATTAGAGACCCCTTTGCACTACTTACACCACTACCGGACCCTGAGCAGTCAAAGGAAAATAATTCTTGGGGACCCCTTTATGGATCCAAAGCTCAGAACACTGAGTGTTTCTAACCTAGTGTCCTTCATCTGAGGGACACAAAGATTTGAATAAAACTGTCTTTTTGGGGAGAGCAATAGACCCACTTATTTATCCCCATTCACCATCAAATACCATGACTTACTGTAGTCCAAGCAGTCTTGCTATACTGAATTGCACTTACTGCTTATATCACAATAATTATTCAGCCATAAAAAATAGAACTTTTATTTATTTTTGCAGGCCTTCACAATCTGCTTATCTAATTCATTAAACAGACTCTAAAAAACTGATCAGTTGTCAGGATTGTCTTTAATTACTGAACAAAGGAACACATTATTTCAAAGCAATTACTATTCAACATGTAACAAGTGGAACCACCAGGGGTCGCTTCCTCCACATTGTGAGCTCCCATAAAAGGGAGGCTGTCAGGCTGGTGGCCAATTTGTCAATCTCTGGTGTTCGACCAGGTGTGTTGGCCCACGCGTTCCACTGTTTGTGATCAGGTTTGTGTGTTTGTTTTTTGTTGTAAAGAAAACNGGTAATGTCAATGTCTTTTCTATATGTCTATATGGTTAACTGCACATTGGTGACTGGTGACACGCAGTTTGAACTTCTGTGCTAACCCTGTTACATAGATTTTGACAATAACATACACTTGAACTTGAACTTATATCTGACGCGTATCAACTCATTTTGAGGCTGTGTCTTTAAATCAAACGAGGCTCTTCAGACCCTGCCCCCTCCAGCTTCTAGACCGGTCCATTTTAGCCTGATAGAAGGGTTTACGACTATGTAGCGGCACAAAAACATTAAAAGATGTAAATAGGGAGGACTGCAGTACAGATGAAAACAGTCCTTTAATCAACCTTTAGGTACATTTATTGTGATTAAATGAGGCTGTTTGATCTCTTCATTATTCATCACTTTTGAAACATAATTTGTGTAAACTACACAAATTGCTGCAACCTTTACAAATTTGAAATAAAAAGGGGTCTTTAATGCTCAGTTTTACAATCTTCCACCACGTCTTTCTTTATGTGGAACCGTTCAGAGCTTCTTGGATTAGGCACAGATTTACTCTCAGCCCTCCACATCATTAATGCCTGTTTATAACTGCGACCCAGCGAGGCCGCGGTCTTGTCATGGAGCCGAGTGGGTCGCTCTAAATCTAGATTAGTCCCTGCAAAAAAGGAGCAGGGCAAGACAACCACTGCGAGCTCTGTGTCGAGGTGCTTTCAGAAGTAGGGCGGCGGTGGGAAGAATGTGGGTTAACACGTTAAAGATACATAAACGTCGAAAAGGTGCGAGTACGCTTCACTTCACTTAAGAACCGACCAAGTGCCAGACAGCAGCAGGTCCAACTCTATGGAAACCAGCACAGGAAACAGAAGGAAGGGAGGTGGGGTGCTGCTGGGTTCAAAACTTCTTTTCTATCTTTATTAGGTTAAAACCTGAGTTTTAAATACTTAAATTTTGATTTTACTTACAAAGTTCACACATTCTGAATAAACACTAAACAAAACTATTTATTTTAGACTTTAACTTGCAAGGATTTTAAGAAGTAGGGCAGAGAAAAAGACTGAGACAAAAATGATTTAATTATTAATTAATAATAATTAATAATGTAATTATTAATATAATAATTAATTATTTAATGTTTTTCAAATGCATTCTGTGTTACTCTGAACTTTTATTACTGTGGTAGTTTGTAACATTTATTATTGTATTCTGCTCCACAGGTTTGTTCATCTGATTAAATCGCAACAACCTGCAACAACCACTTGCAAAGATGCCAACACCTCAAGGAACAGAAGTTTTGTCTGAAGATGATGCCGAAATATTAATATATTAATATTGATTTTGTTTAATTTTTGTTTTTTGTAAATACACATTCTCTTATTTTGTAATAATAAATATTGTCTATTTTATACTGGTTGTTTTATTGCACCAATAGTGGTCTTAACAAACATGATAAGTTTACTGATAGGTGTTAGGTATAGGATAGGTGCTGATAGGACAACATTACTCAAAAACTTGTGGGCGAATTGTCATGACATTTACACCACATGTGGATATTGGCACAAGTAACACAACATTAAATTTTGGATATGTTCCAGATCACGATGCGGATACAGAAATTTTTTTTCTTTTAATCCTCTCAGATCGGCAAAGCTGTGATGCTTTCACAGGACTTCTGTAAAAAACTGACAGCTTTCAGTGTTTGGACTTCAAACTTTACAAAAGTAATGTTAAAACCAGATGTAATGATGAATAATCCTTGCCATAATGTGCACATTTTTATGCATTTGTTGTGCATTTAGAGAACGTTTTGTGACCACGAAGTGCGTGACTGCACCATGAAACCCATTTTTCCCATTTCCTCAAACACACCACATTGTCTGTAGACTTGTACACAGATCGATGAAGACTGAGGAAGAGGAGTGACGCGGTGGATTTCAGACTTGGAGGTTGTTTGTTTGTTTGTTCAGTTTTATTATTATTTAAATGAGGCCAGATCAAGTCGAGAACTATGTGCGCCCCTCTATCCACCTCTCACCAAACTTTGGGGAAAAAAGAATGTGCAGAGCGTGGTTGTGACAGCTGTGTGTGTTCCTCACAAAGATAGGAAGACACGTGTGTGTCTGTGTGATTAGAAGCGCGATGAAAACTCTGCTTTTTTGAATCATGCAGCACCGATGCAAAAGCTTTCAATAACGTCGGGTGACAAGTCTGACCTTTTTCCTTTTTTTCCACATTAGACTCCACCGGGAAGAAATCCCGTGCATAATGCCTGCTTAAATGTTCACTACGTCAGAACTTTTTCGGGAAATGTGTTTCCATCTCTGCTTTTGTGCATTAACTCTATTACAGGATGGGGGAAATTGGACTTGGCGGAGGTTTGCACTCTCTGAGTGCTTCTAGTTAAGGATGGCTTTATGTGACATCCTTACTTCTGGAACATTAAGCTGAGCAGTTTATGT